AGCGTCGGTGGTGATATCAGTGGTAGTGGTGTACACACCGCGTTTAAGCTCACGGGGAAAATTGTAGGAGCGCGAATGCGAGCTTGAAGCGCGGGTGCGGACTTCAGTCGCGTGCGACATACGCTCCCGGTTGCCACGGTTCGTACACAGCGGGAAAATTTGTGTTTTCTTATTAAAAAATATGCCGGTTAAAATTTTTATGTTAGATATTACACATTCATGTGTTAATTTAACATATTGCTGTTGTATTAATTGAACTCAAATGTTAAATTATTAAAACAATTGAAAAAGGTGTAAAAATAATACAATGTGCACATATTTTTAATTTTACACAATATATTCCGTATTACTAGTGACACAATTTATCTGTTAAAATTTACAAAAAGAAATGTTGATTTTATTCTACAGTAGGAGTGAGAGTGACTGCAGACTGTAAATAACATTTTTCCAAGTTAATTTTATCATTAAAAATATGTTAATTTACACAAAATTTATTTCAAATTATTATAAAGTTTGCATTTATTTTGTGTTGAAATATTAACATAGTATTAATGTCACCATTTGACATATCTACATTATGTTAAATTAACACAAAAATTTGTGTGGACTGTTTGGGACATGCGATATATATTAAATTTAACACAAAATTTCCAACTGTATAATGTTCGCGTCAACTGCGATTCGATACAACTAAAAATGAACTAATGTAAAGATGAATGTTGTCAATGTAATGTGCATGTAAAATTGATCTGTCGTATATGAGTTATTAACATTTTTGATTCTTAATCAAATTATTTTCATAATAAATTTGTACACAATATGGATACAACTTGAGTTATCGAGTAATCGAGATTTTAGTGAATTGAAAAGAGATAAGCCAAGAATCACATATTGCAACAATAAGATACGATATGAGTATATGTACCAGGATCGTAGCGATAATGCGATGAGAGAATTACGCGATTTTTTCGATTTTTGCACTGTATCGAAATTAACAAGACCAATGAAATGGAGCATGATCCTTGTGATATAATTTGATGGACTATTTATGTTTTCTTAGTGAGTCCCTATTGATCGAAAAAATTAAGGCTACGCAGATAACAAATATCGTCAAGAGAGATAGAGACAGAAAAAAACAAAAAAAGTGCAAGATAGAGAATGGAAATAAGAGCGCTTTACGGACAATAACCGTGCATATGAAAACAATGCAAAACGAATCTCCTTCATTTTTAAAGTTCAAGATAGCGTAATAAAAATATTGCATTTGATTTTTACATTTTTCTTTAATAATTGATAAAGCTTGTATCAAAAGACGCGTATCTCATCCGCATCGACTCCTTTCACAAAAAAAAAAAAAAAAAAAAAAAAAAAAAAAAAATCACATCGAAATGTCATAATCTTTATTGATTAAAAGCAAATATAATCTAGGTTTGATAACATAAATTACATATATTAATGAAATATTTTTATTACATACATTAATAAATATTTATTAAATTTTTGCACATATAAAATCGACTAAAATTCTATCGCTAAAAGTTTAAAAAGTGATTAGTGAAAGTTAAGTGAAATATATAGATTTCTGTCGCACATCTCTCGGAAATTGTCAATAATTATGAGGGATAAATTTACATTCAGCGTGAGTATTATTTATATGTATATCTTACCCAATTCTTATATTTTTTCTATGGGTTTGTTGTAATTGATTGAAAAAAAAATGAAAGAAAACTACAAATTTGAAGTTAATATTTATGTTAGTTTATAATCATCAATCTGTAGACTAAAACGCGTGCAGACGTTTCGAGATCATATAGGTCATAGAGATTGTAGCATATTTTCTCTTTTTCTACTTATGTTAGAGACAATCATGTGATTTCGCGAGCATTGAGAATTCAGTGTTACCACTTTGCTACTTTACCACAATATATATATATATATATATATATATATTCTACTCTATCAATTTAAACTCTCGAAGAAAATGTTGCCAATAAAACAGTATGCGACAATTATTTATATGATAAAAATAATTTCTTATTGATGTAATTTACAGTCGGGAGTTCCGAACATGCATGAGACCCTTTCTAGTTTTCCGGAACAGTTTGGAGATGGTCCGAAGAAACCGGAAATAAAGCTAGAAAATTTGAAGGAGACGGATAGGACCATGGACAATCTGAAGTGCGGTTGGTACTGGTTCAGACCAATTTATTTGCAGAAATTTCGCACAGCGAAATGGGCGCTTTTCTGGTTATGTTGGGCCGGGGCTATGCAGGGTACGTATTATATTAGTTTTTTACTTTTTGTCCTAAATTGCTTAATCCACTTTTAAAAAAGGCATGTTAAATCGATACTTACAAGTATTATTGCCTCTTTTCCGCGATATTGATTGGTTATCTCGATACTATGCATTACTTTATATCAATGAAAGCCTATCATGGCTGAGCGACGCATTTGACAGTACAAATTTCAGTATGTGTATATAATTTTAATTTAATCGATTTTGAAAAAACGGGTAAGTAGGGTTAATATGTAAATAATTATATATATATAATTATTATTTATATGTATATATATATATGTATATATATACAGGGTGCGGCATTTATAGTGACGCGGGCATATTTTTCGGAAACGAAGTGAGATATCAAAAAATGTTTCAGACAAAAGTTGTAAATGGAACTCCCCATTTTTTATTACATATTCTTGTAGCTTATCTCGAGAGCTTTTCAAAACACTATGATAAAGTATTTTTTCATTAAGTACTTTTTGAGTTATTTTATATTTTAATCTGACATATTTTGATATAAAAAATAAAATATCTCGTTAAATATTTAGTTTTCGATAATCTTATCGCAATACTTTTATGTACAGAATAATGATACAAATTAATTAGTGTAAAAAAAATAAATAATTGTTAAAAAAATACATTGTAAATAATTACATACTTTCTCTAAAAAACAATTTTTTTATATCAGTAAAATAATACGAAATCATATAAAATAACTCGAAAAATACTTAATGAAAAAATACTTTATTATAGTGTTTTGAAAAGCTCTCGAGATAAGCTACAAGAATATCCAATGAAAAATGGGTGTTTCCATGAGAAATTAAAGATGACCTTCATGTGATCTTCAAATGACTATCCAAGATCAAATCAATGACACTATCTTATGTCCCTTCGAAGTCATAAAACTTTTGTACAAAATATTTTTTCGTATCTTCTATATTTTTCGAAATATTTGCTTGTTAAGATTAAAAAGACTCACCCTGTATATATATGTGCGTGTGCGTGTGCGTGTGCGTGTGCATGTGCAAATGCGTTGTTGTTTCCAAAACGCTGTTAATGATTTAAACTTCGAAATCGAAAGAACACGTTTAAAACTTGGAAAATATAATAATTATAATAGAATAGACCTCCGCGTTTTGGAAATCATAATTTTTCGTATGTCGTATAAAGATACATCTAAGTATTGGGAGAAGTTGATTTTTTTCACATTTCCGGCTTTTTATTTAGAGCTCTGGGTAGCATCCCACGAGATATAAAAGAAACTCTTAACATTATTACGCTCAAACTAATATTGCAAGAGATATCGCGATTTTTGGTATGACATTTTGCAAAAACCTGATAATATATCAATCATCGGGCGATCATATAAACGTGAGAAAATTAATTAGTACTGTTAATGATTAAAATTCATTCGACTTTGAAAGAACACGGTTAAAACTATAGGAAAATGTAATAATTATATAATAGAATAGATCTTCGCGCTTCGGAAATTACAATTTTTCGTATGTCGATATGCATATATAATAAAGATTTTTCAGCAATCGCAAAAGTATATATATATATA